GCCGAGAACAGTAATGTGGCATCAGCTGCTGCGGTGTTGCCACATGTCGGTACTTACTTTCTGGACAGTGGAAGAGATCGTCCTCCTGTGGAAGAAAAAAGACAAAAATCAATTATTTTAATCCACCAGACCCTCCAACAAACAAACAGACGTCCAAACAAAAACAAACAGAAACAAACAAGCATGCACGAGAGGGGGAAAAAACAATAAAACACGGGGCTTCACATAGCGGCTCTTCAACACGGGTGTAAAATTTCAACGCGTTACAACACCGGTCGCCATTCGCAGGTTAAATGTGTCGTGTCTACTTAATTGAACGCAATATTATTTCGTCTTCGTGGGGCTGTTTATAATGGTGAAAACTCCCTCATTCGAATAAACATAATAAAGTAAATAAGAAAATTGCATTTACGTTTTTTTTGCTTGCATTGCTGGAGCTGCCTTGTTGTTCTTCAAAACATGCTGAGTCATTGCGGCGAAATGAAATAACGTTATACTGTTAGTCTTGGTTTATGATTACATTACTGTGATTTTTTTAAATATTTTTTTTTAGGTTAAAACGTAAATATTTGACCCTCCGTTAACCGTAACTTGGAAGCGACTTTTGTAAAAATAAATAAACAAATAAATAAATAAATAAATAAAAATAAAGATAAAGAAATCAATGAAATAAAAAATTCAAAACCATTTTTTATAAATTCCCCTTTTAAATCACGACGTCCCTTAGGATCTTAGATCTTCCAACACGTTCGTCACGACATTCCCCTCAAAAGAGAGACAAAAAAGACAAGAAAAAAGACAAAAAAGACCAAAAAGACAAGAAAATAGACAAAAAAGAAAAAAAAACAAGAAAATAGACAAAAAAGACAAAATGGACAAGAAAAGAAGACAAAAAAGACAAGAAAAGATACAAAAACAACAAGAATAAGACAAAAAAGACAAGAAAGAGACAAAAAGGAGACAAAAAGACAAGAAAAAAACAAAATAAGACAAGAACAAAAAAAACAAGAAAAAATTACAAAAAGACGAATAATTTTGGCCGATCCCTGACTCCGGGTATCAGGAAGTCCCAACCTTCGACACGAGCCTTTTTATACCCAACCCCGGGGGCGTCAACCCCGCGAACCCCCCCCCCCCCCTACCCTGTGTCAATCCACGATCAAATTACTCACGGAACAAAAAAAAAAGAAGGAATATATATTATAAAAAGGCAACGAACAAAGAAAAATATAAATGAGAATGAAAGGTTAAAAATGGAATATCAATGGGAAGCAAAGAAAAATAAATGAGAATAAAGAATATGGAATATATTATATAAAAAAAACAAAAATAAGCAAATGAAAAGAAAAAAAACAAAAAAAAGAGGAGTAGATAATTTGTTTTGCTCGATAATAACTGAAAAGAAAATGTAAAAACAAGACAAATCTACCACTTTTTGAGAAATAAAAAATAAAAAAGAAAAAAAATGTAGAAAAAAATCCGTAGCCAGTGTAAACTACTTCATTTGACAAAACGCAGAACAAGCATTACAGCCCCCCTCCTCTCCCTCCCCCCTCCCCCTGCCGCCCTCACTTCACGTGTTCTCACTCGAGGGAGCCTAATTAAGGAACCGAAAACTGAAGCAGGTGGCTTCATGTTGCTTCACCCCCCCCACTGCTTCGAGAAATTGAGCCGCGCCACAAACTCCGAAAAAAGAAAGAAAGAAAACAGAAAAAAAAAATCGCCGAATGGATTCCGATCCTGCTTCATTTGGCGGGAAAATGAAGCTCGGAAGCATATTCGTGTGTCTATGATATAAGTAGAATGATAGAAAAGAATCCGATCCTTTATCGCATCTTAGCTCTTGTCGAAAAATTGATAAATGGTGATGATGATAAAATAATTATACTACGAAAAGTCAAAGAGTCGTATGTATCAGTGTTCTCTAAAACCAATTTCTTTTCTTAAAGGGTTCTAAACGGGATTCTAAAAGGGATTCAAAGAGTTACTGAAAGTATTCTAAAGGGGGTTCTTAACAGTTCCTGAAGGTGGATCTAATGGCTTCTAAAAATGTTTCTTAAAAAGCTTCTAAAGCGGTTCACGGAGGTTCTAAAGGGTTCTATAAGATTTCTAATGTTTTATTTCCCAAACACTGTCTAAAAGAGGATCTAAAAGCTTCTAAAATAGGTTCTAAAACAATGTTTCGAAGGGCGTTTCAAACAGTGTAAAAGAAAAGACGATCGCCCAGGATAAGGGATCCGTCGCGGCGCCGAATGCATTCCCGCCGACGACCGAGAACAAAGGCGCAGAGACGAGCGTGCAAATTTTCCCGCTTTTTTCCTTTTTTTCGATATTCATATATTTCTTATTCGGTATAGAAAATTTGAATGTGATATCTTTAGTGTTTGTATTCTGGTTCTTCATGCAGATAGAAGTTATTAGAGATATTCCCTTTTATCGCCTGCGTTTCGGGGGTAAGATGAACACACACAAAGGGCGTGTGTACATGGAGTGTATGCGCGCGTGTGTGTTTGTAAGTAGACACACACACACACACTTTATATACAAATAAATAATTATATATGTATGTATGTATACACACATATGAGGTTTGTGTGTGTGTGTGTGTGTGTGTGTGTGTGTGTGTGTGTGTGTGTGTGTGTGTGTGTGTGTGTTGTGTGGTGTGTGTGTGTGTGTGTGTGTGTCTGTGTGCGCCGGGCGTGTGTGAATTCACAGATACAGCGAGTAGATACATCGCATGTATACACACATATACAGCGAGTCATGACAAAAGTGTTTGCTTCGAAGCAGCTCGTGACGTCACCGTTTCCCAAGCACCAGCTGACGGGCCAATCCCGTAGCGGGACCCGCGGGTTCCCGGATGTGAGAGTGGGTACATGGCCGCGCGGAAGGCAGACTTAAATCACGCATGTTTCCGGTTGTGGGAGTGGGCATGCCGCCTCCTCATTGGAGAACCACACTTGCATTCGTAATTTATGGCTCAAGCGAAGAGTTGAATGGCTTACAAGGTTCGTGCGGTTAGAGATTAAGCCTAAGCCCGCGTCGCACACGGGTTTCGAAGCCATCGCGTACCTTTCTTAGCCCGAGGGAAACCGCGCCGAAAATGGCCATGATGTACGCAAATAAATACGAGGAGCTAATCTTTGAACGGATATGTCCAGATGGCCGCGAATTATGCGGACAATACCTTATGGAACAAAAATCCATGAATATTTGAGTAACCATCCCACCGGACGTCCTCCAAGGCGACGACCGAACGCAGAGAAACGCTCCGAACACAAGATGGCCGCGGAGGAACCTATGGACGAGAGTCAAGCGCGCGTGACAGATCCGGCGGGGCCAGCGGAGGCGGCGTGTGGTCAGGCACTGGTCGGGTGCCGTTGAACCCAGGACCGGAAGACGGACCCCCTCCCCCTCCGGACCTCCTTCAGGGAACCCTCTCCGCCGCCGCCGCCGCCACTCCCTCGCCGCCCGCCCGCCCGCCGCCATTCCTCTGCTCCAGTGAAGCACTCGGAGCATTTCGAGCCCCGAGGAGAGTCGGTTCAGGGCTCGTTTTTCCGTCTCAGGGCTCGTTTTTTCCGTCGACTCGATTCGTCGACGAGTGCATCCTGGATATGAGCGGCGCGACCTCAAAACGCCGCGGCACGACCCTTCCTTCCCTCCGCTCGCAGGAACCACTCAGATAATCACGAGGACGGCCGCAAGTGGGTGAATCCTCCGCCGCAAACAGCAAGTCCACGGCGATAAGTGGCGGCCATAAGCATAGCGCTATGGCCGGGGAAGACATGGCCGAAGCACCGGTAAGGGGGCGGGCGGGGTGAGGGGGAGGGGCGAAGGGGGAGGGGGAGGGCGAAGGAGAGGAGGGGAGTGGCTCTTCTCGTGGTCCGAGTTTGGACTTGGGGCGTGAGGGGAGGGAGGAAGGACGAAGAGGAAGAGGAGGAGGAGAGGAGGAGGAGGAGGAAGAGGAAGAGGGAGAGAGGAGAAGAGAGAGAGAGGAAGGATATAGGGGAGGGAGGAGAGAGAAAGAGAGAGAAAAGAGGAGAAAGAGAGAGAAAGAGAGGGAGAGAGAGAGAGAGAGAGAGAGAGAGAGAGAGAGAGAGAGAGAGAGAGAGAGAGAGAGAGAGAGAGAGAGAGAGAGAGAGAGAGAAAGAGAGAGAGAGAGAATAGCAAAGGGGAGAGAGAGAGAGAGAGAGAGAAGGTGGGAGAGGGAGAGAGGAGAAAGGAGAGAAGCGAGAAGGATAGGAGAGGGGAGGGAGAGGGCCAGGGGGTGCGGGGCAGGGTGAGCAAGGGTGACGGGGAGGAATGCTAAGCAGAGGAGGGAGAGAGAGTGGTCGCGAACTCCCCGCGGATGCACTTGGGAGAGTATCCTCTTCTCGCGCGGATTTGTGAATGGATGGATGGATGCGCGCTGCTGGCAGGGTTGGAGGACATGATGCTTGTGTGTGTGTGTGTGTGTGCGTGGGTTGTGTGTGTTTGTGTGTGTGGGGGAGGAGGGTTGCGTGTGTTAGTGGGTGTGTGTGGGGGGGAGGTTGCGTGGGTTTGTGTGTGTGTGTGTGGTGTGTGTGTGTGTGTGTGTGTGTGTGTGTGTGTGTGTGTGTGTGTGTGTGTGTGTGTGTGTGTGTGTGGTGTGGTAAGAGGTGAGTGAGTGAGTGAGTGAGTGAGTGAGTGAGTGAGTGAGTGGTGAGTGAGTGAGTGAGTGAGGAGCGAGCGAGCGAGCGAGCGAGCATGTGTGTGTGTAGGTGTGTGCGTGCGCGCGCCTGAAAGTGTGCTTCTGCGTTTCGTCCCACAGGCAGCCCTCAACGTCCAGATCATCGCCAATAGAATATATCCCAGTGAAGCCAGGGCTGCACCCGCCAGGCGCGCCACGGGCCGCCGTCCCCGCGGGGCCATCGTCCGCCTCCGATAACAGGACCGCCTCGAAGCCCGATCCATTGTGTGGCCCCGCGCGCTGCACTTTGCTCGGCCACGCTCCCGCGCTCCACGGCTCCTGTTTACTCGGGCGCTTGGGCGTGCACACACACACGTCCATGCAGGCCCTTCGGAAACGTCTGGTCGGGTGGGGGTGGGATAGGAAGGGGGGAGGGGGGGTTGCAGAGGCCACGGCACGCGCGCTTCCGTCTGTGGCATCGCTGGCTCCGAGAGGGAGTTCGAATCGCGGTTCATTTGCGTCCTTTTTGGTAAACCGAATCTTGACGAGGCTTTGGGTTCGGATGGCAAGGTCTAATGGCATCAGAGGAGAGAGAGGAGAGAGAGAGAGAGGAGAGAGAGAGAGAGAGAGAGAGAGAGAGAGAGAGAGAGAGAGAGAGAGAGAGAGAGAGAGAGAGAAAGAAAGAAAGAAGAGACAGGGACAGAGAGATAAAATAAATGAATAAATAAATAATATAAATAGATAATCAGATAGACAAACAGATAGATAAACAGACAGACAATCAAGCTAATCTCTGCCACCCCCCCCCCCTCAGCTGTCGCCACGCCTCAGCGCCATCTAGCAATGGAGGATGCAAGTAGAGTGTAATAATGGCTTCTGAAATTACCTGCACAACAGAGTATAAACTATTCCTTGCGAGGGAGGGAAGTAGGGAGGGAGGGAAGTGGAAGGGAGGGAGGGAGGGAGGGAGGGAAGAGGTAGGGAGGGAGGGAAGAAGGGCGAGGGAGGGAGAAGGGAGGGAGAGAAGGGAGGAAGGGAGGGAGAGGGGAGAGAGTGAGGAACGGAGGGAGAGGGAGGGAGGGAAGAAGGGAGGGAGAAAAGAGGGGAAAAGGGAGAGAGAGAGAGAGGAATGGAGGAAGGGGGGGGCGGCAGAGGGATGTAAGCTATGGCGTCCATCAACTCTCTACTATTTACGGTTCTTGCGTCTCTCTCTCTCTCTCTCCCCCTCTCTCTCTCTCATTCACCCCCATCTCTCTTTCTCTCTTCTCTCTCTTCTCTCTCTCTCTCTCTCTCTCTCTCTCTCTCTCTCTCTCACCTCACCCCCATCTCTCTCTCTCTCTCTCTCTTCTCTCTCTCTCTCTCTCTCTCTCTCTTTGTTTTATTTTTAAGAGGAATCGCGATTATCTCAACGCCTGTCTGCTCTCTCGACGACGCCACAAAAAAAAAAAAAAAGGCTTCACCTCCGATCGGTTTTGTAATTAACATTTTTTTCCCCCGTTGGTTTCTGTAATTACCTTTTTATGTCATTACTCGTGTCCGCTTATGTTCACCGAGTCATCATTAGCGTGTTAATTACCCTTCTACACGAATTAAGAAATTGATCGACAAAAGACGAAAGGAAAAACAACATCGTCAACACAAACAATAAGCGAATAACGATACTTAAATAAACAAACAAATAAATAAACAAACAAACACACAAAACAGTGATGGAAATAAACAAAAGAAAAAAGTTTAATAACCAAATGACAGCCAGGCGACACCAGCATCCGGTAGGCCTATCGCCAAGGGAGGGAAATTGTTCGTCTTGAAGAGGCATGACGACGAAGCCAAGGTCAGTGCCACCGTGCCATTAACAAGAGGCTGGGGGGAAGGGAGGGGGAGGGAGGGGTGTAGAAGTGGAGGGGGAGGGAAGGGATATAGAAGAGGAGGGGGGAGAAGGGGGGAGGGAGGGAGGATAAGGAAGGAAGGGAGGGGGATAAGGAGGAAGAGGGGGAGGGGAGGGGTATAGAAGGGGAGGGAGAGAGAGGTGTTATAGGTAAGGGAAGGGGAAGGGTGGGGGGGTAAGGATGGTAGGGGAAGGGGTGCTATAGGTAAGGGGGGATAGCACAGTGGAAGAGGGAGGGGGAGGTACAGGGAAGGGTGAGAGGGGAGGGGGGACCGGTGAATAGGGGAGGGGAGGGGGGGGGGCGGAGAAGTCCTTCCGGTTATTGTACTTTTTCTCTCTCTCTATTACCTCCTCCAAGTCTAATTAAATACCATGTCTTGATCCCCGAGACAAACCGCGCGCGAGAGAGAGAGCAGTAAATTATCTTAATAATGGCGACAGATTTTTTTTTTTTTTTTTTTTTTTATTGGGCGTGATTTCGTTCCAAAGTGCACACCTATTTTGGGCGTGGCTGTTTACCCAAAGCCATTTAATTAAGACTGAATCTGTCTGAATTAAGTCCATCTTATTTAATATATAAGCACATCCTCTTAAGTAAACCTAACTTATAAAAGTGTGAAGTGACGCTTGTCTGTGTAACGGCGCATAAATAAAGTTAATTTGAATTTCCTTAATTAAATCTATATATATCATCATCTCTGACGGAAGAGAAGTAAATTCATCTTAAGGGGCGTGTCTGTGTCAAGCAAATCCAACTTAGGGGGCGTGTCTATGTCTAGCAAATCCAACTTAGGGGGCGTGTCTGTGTCTAGCAAATCCAACTTAAGGGGTGTGTCTATGTCTAGCAAATCCAACTTAGGGGGCGTGTCTATGTCTAGCAAATCCAACTTAGGGGGCGTGTCTGTGGTCAAGCAAATCAACTTAGGGGGCGTGTCTGTGTCTAGCAAATCAACTTAGGGGGGCGTGTCTGTGTCTAGCAAATCCACTTAAGGGGTGTGTCTATGTCTAGCAAAATCCACTTAAGGGGGCGTGTCTTGTCTAAGCAAATCCAACTTAGGGGGCGTGTCTATGTCTAGCAAATCCAACTTAGGGGGCGTGTCTGTGTCTAGCAAATCCAACTTAGGGGCGTGTCTGTGTCTAGCAAATCCAACTTAGGGGCGTGTCTATGTCTAGCAAATCCAACTTAGGGGGCGTGTCTGGTCTGCAAATCCAACTTAAGGGGCGTGTCTATGTCTAGCAAATCCAACTTAGGGGGCGTGTTTGTGTCTAGCAAATCCAACTTAGGGGCGTGTCTGTGTCTAGCAAACCCAACTTAGGGGGCGTGTCTGTGTCTAGCAAATCCAACTTAGGGGCGTGTTTGTGTCTAGCAAATCCAACTTAGGGGGTGTCTGTGTCTAGCAAACCAACTTAGGGGGGCGTGTCTGTCTCTAGCAAATCCAACTTAGGGGCGTGTCTGTGTCTAGCAAATCCAACTTAGGGGGGGTGTCTGTGTCTAGCAAATCCAATGCGTGTCTGTCTCTAATAAATCCACTTAGATTGTGTCTGGCAAATTCAACTTAGTAGGCGTGTCTGTCTAGGAAATCCAACTTAATGGGTGTGTCTGTGTCTAGCAAGACCTACGGAATGGGTGGCTATATCTAGTAAATCCAACTTAATGAGTGTGTCTATGTCTAGCAAGTCCTCCTTAATGGGTGTGTCTATACCTAATAAATCCAACTTAATGGGTGTGCCTATATCTAGTAAATCCAACATCAAGGATGTGTCTATATCTAGCAAATCCAACTTAACAGGCGTATCTATGCCTACCAAAACCCACCTTAATAAGCGTACCTATGCCTACCAAAATCCACCTTAGCAACCCCTACCTCCCCCCCACCTACCAAGCGAATCCACCAGACCAGAAAGAGCCATCTCGACAACCCAATCCTCCTTAGTGGTCTTACCTGGTTGAGTTGGGCAGAGGCGGCGGTTGCGATGAGGACCACGACGGCCCATAGTCCTGCTCGACACATCCTGCAACTGCAAAGGAGAGAGAGAGAGAAGGACCATTAGCGACGAAGATAAATAAGTAATGGAGGTAAATGAATAAATAAATAACGAATAAATAAATAAATAACGAAGATAAATAAATAATGGAGATAAATAAATATATAAATAATAAAAGTAGATAAAGGAAAGATAGAGAAGGATCATTAGTGACGAAGATAAATAAATGAGAGGAGATAAATAAATAAATAAATAAATAATATATATTATATATATATATATATATATATATATATATATATATATATATATATATATATATATAATATATATAAATATATAATGAAAGTACACAAAGGAGCGAGAGAAGGACCATTAGTGACGAAGATAAATAAATGAGAGGAGATAAATAAATAATTAAATATATAAATAATAAAAGTAGATAAAGGAGAGAGAGAGAAGGGCCATTAGTGACGAAGATAAGTAAATAAGAAGAGAGAAATAAATAAATAAATATATAATAAAAGTAGATAAAGGAAAGAGAGAGAGGGACCATTAGTGACGAAGATAAATAAATGAGAGGAGATAAATAAATAAATAAGTAATTAATAAAAGTAGATAAAGGAAAGAGAGAGAAGGACCATTAGTGACGAAGATAAATAAATGAGAGAGAGAAATAAATAAATAAATAAATAATAAAAATAGATACAGGAAAGAGAGAGAAGAACCATTAGTGACGAAGATAAATAAATGAGAGAGAGAAATAAATAAATAAATAATAAAAATAGATAAAGGAAAGAGAGAGAAGAACCATTAGTGACGAGATAACATTGCATAGTTAATTCACGTCGACTAGTGGATAGAAGAAAATAAATAAATAAAAAGAAACAAGCAGATTAATAAATAAAAAGAGATGAAGAGAGAGAGAGAAGAAGAATCTTTAGCGACGAGATAACAATGAATCTTCGGTTAATTTACGTCGATCAGTGGATAAAATACTGATAAATCGTTGAATAATTGATAAGAGTGGGAATTAAAGAGACATAAAGAGACAGATATTTGATAAGAATGGGAATGAAGAAACTAATAAATCGATAAATAACAGAAACGGGGAATGAGAGTCTAATAAATCGATGAATATTTAATAAGATATGAATACACTAATAAACTGATAAATAATAAGAACTGGAATGAACTAAAAAAAAATGGGAATTAATCATAATTCGATGAATACTTAACGAGAATGGGAATAAAAAATGAGTGGCTAAAAAAAAATAAGGAAGAGGGAGAGAAAAGCAATTTAGTGATTAGATAATAATTCTTATAAATCACGTCTATAAACTCAAATTTTAAATTATCCGATGAATATTTGATGAGAATGGGAATGAATAACCAACCGATGTATATCCGATGATAACATGTAATCAACGAACCGAAGAAATCGATGAATACAAGATAAGAATGAATATAAACAATAAATCAACGAATATTTGATAAGAACGCGAATAAAAAAATCGAATCAATATATCAAGAATACAGAAACATCAATGGGGTCATTAGATATATGTCACGCTGGCATATATGACACAAATCTATAATCACTCTTGACCACCAGATGGCTGACGGGGCCCCTGAAGCCTTCGATAGGCCTATTAAGTAAGAATGTCCCTTTACATTAAGTAAAGTAGAAAGTAGAGCAAAATTGAAAGCATGAATATAGAAATAGCGGGAATTAGACGCTGTGAGAAAGGTATCTGGACATCTTTCCCCTCCTTCGAAAACAACAGAGTCACTTTATCTTTTTTTTTTTCCCTAAAAAATATAAACACTCGCTCTCTATTCTTTCCACGCGTGCACGGCGACGGAGCAACAACCCGAATACTTATATATATATATATATTTTTTTTCTTTCATTTCTCGTATATTTCTAAATGAGAGAGAGAGAGAGAGAGAGAGAGAGAGAGAGAGAGAGAGAGAGGAGAGAGAGAGAGAGAGAGAGAGAGAGAGAGAGAGAGAGAGAGAGAGAGAGAGAGAAAAACAAGGAAAAATATCTTTAAAAAAGAGGGTAAAAAAAAAAAGAAAAGACTTAAACACGTCACTGCTGTTGGTGTCCCGTCACACAGGGTGTTATTTACGCCACGTCACTGTTACCATGTCTAACCAAGCGTCGAGAAGTGTCACGAGGAGAGAGAAGGGAAGTTGGAGGGTTCTGGCAACACTGCGCGCACGATGTCACTGCCTGGCACGTGGTTAGCGACCCCCCCCCCCCCCCGAGCCTCGCTGAAGTCCCCGATATCCACAGGACCGGAAAAAAGGGATAGGCGTCACATATTCTTTTTGTGAGGGGGGGGGGAGGGGGGGGGGGACTTATCTATTCTATTTCATTTTTATTATTATTGTTTGTTTTTTTTAATGCGAACGAGATTCTGCTGTGTTTTTTGGGGGGAATTCGTTCGAAAGCGTAATTTCTTGAGGCAAAACTCCCTAATGTTCTTTTTTTCTTGTTTTTATTTACCACTTATTTATTTTCATTATCTATTCCTCTATTTCTTTTACACAACCTAGTCGCATTCCGGGAACCGCCACGATACGTCTCAAAAGGATAATTCTTACTGAATTCCCATAATACAAACATCAAACTGAACTTCCGCCATCGCCTTAAAAAAATAACCGTTATTCTGTTTCGAAAAAATACGACATCATCCGCTTAATCGACTAATCATACTCCTCCACTTCCTCCTTAATTTTCTGCTTGAAATACCTCTTCCTAGGCCGGTCTTTGCGTTCTGGGCTACTTAATAACCACAACATTACTTTACGGACCCCTGGCTAGAGCGACCATGCAAATCCCAGTAACAGTTTGATGCGAGTATGGCTCCTCCTCCTCGGATAGGCCACGCCCACCCTGTATGAAGCCGAATTCCAAACATAAAACTAATATTTTCAAGATTACGGTAAAAAAAAAATAGGACCTAACCGTGTCAAAATCGAAAAAAAAAACAAAACAAAAGACAATCTAACTCCTTGTGTCAAAACCGAGACTGAAAAAAAACCTGTATCAAAAATCGGAGCTTTAAAAAAAAAAAACAGAAACAAACCAAAAAAAGGAACCTAATTGCATCAAAATCGAGGCACAAAACAGAACCCCAAAGTGTCAAAATCGATACAAAAAAAAGACGAATTAACGAAGCAGGACCGGCAAACCGCCCCTTCTCCCGACCGGGGCGCGGGGCGGTTGCACACTGAACGCTGAAGCCACAAAAACTGGATGCGAGACTTAACGGTGCTGCTCGTCCAGTGTTTTACATAAAGCCTTAAGACAATCAACGATGCAGAGAATGAGAGAGAGAGAGAGAGAGAGAGAGAGAGAGAGAGAGAGAGAGAGAGAGAGAGAGAGAGAGAGAGAGAGAGAGGAGAGAGGAGGGAGGGAGGGAGGGAGGGAGAGAGAGAGAGAGAGAGAGAGAGAGAGAGAGAGAGAGAGAGGAGAGAGAGAGAGAGAGAGAGAGAGAGAGAGAGAGAGAGAGAGAGAGGAGGGAGGGAGAGAGAGAGGAGAGAAGAGAGAAGAGAGAAAGAGAGAAAGAGAGAAAGAGAGAAGAGAGAAAGAAAAGAAAGAAAGAGAGAAAGAGAGAAAGAGAGAAAAGAGGAAAGAAAGAAAGAAAGAAAGAAAGAAAGAAAGAAAAGAAAAGAAAAGAAAGAAAGAGAAAAAGAGAAAAAGAGAAAGAGAAAGAAACAGATAAAAACAAAACAAAAAAAACTAGACAACCAAAAAGCGAGAAAGAAAACAAACAAGCGGAACATCACCCGAAGAGATGCAATCTAACCCCCTCCCCCGTCCCCCCCCCCCCCCCACGTCCACCCCTGACACCACGTGAGACAGCAGTGACCTAAACGACCAGTGAGATAGCGATCACAGTGTCACTCCGAAAAACTCCATTACTGGCATACCGGATGTTCCTCTACGTTCGCTTCTTGGGTGAACTTCGCGTACATACAGCCGGAGATACTGATATAAACTGTAATTCGTAGTATAATGTAATATAACATAATACAATACACACAAACACATATATATCCACATACATATACATGTTTGTGTATATCATTCTAAATATACATGGTTGTATATATGTGCGTAGATATATAAATATATATATGTATGTATGTATGTATGTATGTATGTAGATATGTATGTATGTATGTATGTATGTATGTATGTATGTATGTATGTATGTATGTATATGTATGGATGAGTGGTCTAAGTGTACACATGAG